CAAATGTAGGGAGGAATAATAATAATAATATTTATTTTGCAGTCACAGACCAAAATGCAAGTGCAACAAAAGAGAACACAAGAAAAATATAATCACAAACAATTAACACCAGAAGCCTTGGCTAAAGGGAATTACAACGTTCTCCTCTAGTAGTTACAGCTCTTAAAAGAAATTTAGAAACCTGAGAAGTAATATAGGAGGAGCCATCCCCTAGACAATATAAGACCAAATTATTAACATTAGAACCAGAGGGATCAATTCCAAGGAGAGGCAATAATTTAATTCTGGCTGTGTTATATATAGGGCAGTATGATAAGACATGCTCCACAGTTTCAACTTCAGCCCTATCACAGGGGCATAGTCACTCACTGAACAGCAGCTCTTGAATCACCCATCGAGTAGTGCTGAGGGCAAGACATTGAAACAGGCTAGGGAAAAGACTCTTCTATACTTGGGGATGGTTAGAATATAGAAATATGAGGCCATCTTCAACCCATAATTATTAGAATGGCTAAAGATCAAAGGGGAGCAGGTTTTGTTGGCTCTGGCTCTCAAGTATTGCAAATCTATGTCCACAAGCCGTTGGACTACCCTAAACTGGGCATCCTTGAGACCATAATCTCCCAGAGCATCCCCCGTAAAACCTAGCAAGTGGAGTTTCTTCGTCAGCTCCCTCTCCCAACGAGAAGTATGAGAGTCAGCAAACACCAGGGAGAGGTAGCTACCAGGGACTGCCGAAGAGAGCACTTGAAACCACCATTTAAAGGTGTTAATCCACGCCATACATTCAACTGAACGAATGCCCAGTTCCAGGTACATCAAAGCAAATCCAACACAGGGAGGGAGACCCAGAAGTTTCCTAAGAAAAACAGCCTGGGTTCTTTCAATACGATCCTTGAAGCCTCGTATCCATATGGGAATTCCATAAAGAATTTGGGCCAGGGTTTTGGCTTTATATATACGCAGAGCAGAAGGAGTAAACTGGCTTCCTTGAATGTAGAGAGGAAATAAATATGATTCTCCTCTTGAACTTATTTTTGTTTTTGAATAATTATTTTTGTACTTCACAACACACATCAATAATGCATTCTTTTAACCTCCATAAGATGAGAAATGACTTTAAAAATCATCTAATTTCTTAGAACTTTTTTTAAAAAAAAACAATTGCACAATTTTAATTCTAACTCAGCTTTTATAATAATGTAAGTTAATTAAAATATATATACTTCCCAGAAAGGTGAAACTACTTGCATTTCTCCCCACCCCCACCCCCCAATTTTAAAGAAGTCAATACATTTCCAATTGCACAGTGTTAACGCAAGAGGCTATGATTACTTGCGGTCGCGTTCAGTCAGCAATGTCACAGAGGTCAGCAGAGAAAAATAACATGATATGCTATTTCAAAACTGCCAAGAACTGAATGGGGAGACCAGGGTGTAAGAGGAGCTCAGGAGGGTGTACTTGGAGAACAAAAGCAGCCCTTCTGCTAATTGACTGAAAAATTATCCAGGTTCCCTATGGGAAGCATACAAGACTACAGCAGATGGAGGCAGCTCGGACACTGTGGTGCAGAACGCTCCTCAAAAACCTGCTGTGAATCTGCCCGCAATTATGGGTCACAACATTTTTCCTTGTTTAACAGAGTGTAAGGAGCAAGACAAACAGAGGGGTAGCCAAATGGGAAAGGTGATAACCTATTAAGAATCAGGGCTGTTAAACTATTATTTTAACTACTGGATAACTGGGATTCCTTGCAGGTCTGAGATTCATGTGCTGTTCTACAGGCAGTTGTGAAATCACTTTGGAGCCATTTATATTGAGACTCTGACATCGATAGTACTTGCTGTTTCAATCTTTTATTTACTGTAGGATTGACAGCCTGCATTACCATGAATGCTGGGTGGCTGGGTATATTACATACAAATATAGACTAACACAGAAAGCAACTATATAGAAGCTCAGCATTTAGATCAATGCCAAACCATAATGAAGAAATATTCTGGATAATTTTAGTAAAGACAAGTGTCTCTATTTTCCCATTTAAACATTTAAGATTTCAGTACAATAATGTACATCTTTTTTTAAAAAAAAAAATCCCTAATGAGCTTCATTGGAATATGGATAAGATTGCTATACTTTTACATAATAACGCTACAATGTTCCAAAAATATTTCTATGAGATTATTTATCCCTGAATTAGAGTTGTAATATTTGGAATTCAGATTTTTCATACTCAGTGGTTGCCTTCTTCCCAGCCAGTGGATAAGATAGGAACATCTGCATCACTGTCCCTTCACTCACATGTTTCAAAATACATTACAGGATTATTGTAGCTGTATAAAATTCACCACAGAGAAATAACTTCTGCACCACTGTAAAAGAAGCCCCACAGTTGCATACTTTGTCTCCAATAATCAGGCTGTATTATCTTTAGCTTTTTGATCAATCAAATGCATCCTCAAGATACGTCCATAGCTAAACTGTATGTAGGTATAAATGAATGCATCTATGTATGTATGATATTTATAGACTTTCATAATTGACTTCTCTGTGTCAAGCATGAAGCAGAATTAAAACTATCTTTTGATTATCGGAAAGAATGTCAGCATATTTTTTATGAATTGTTCTTCAACATAAACAACTTTGAAATCGATCTGACACAGAGCTTTCCACATATGGGTGAAAATTGCAAATCTGAGGTGATTTCAAGTTGAGGATCACATACTTGTATGGTCTCTGATATAAAAGAATCAGTACAAATAAAAACAGGAGAGGAGGGTAAAGGCTCCATTAGAACTTCTCACTTTTTCATTTGAATGTTTTTCTTCCACGTTGTATGTTTTTTTAAACATGCAATTTGTCTTGCAGGCTGAAGGATATACAATCCATTCTATCATCACCATCACTGGCATTATTTCATTCCATTTGATTACATATATAAATAAGGCCAATGGCAGGAGATGCAAGATGGGATATCATACGAGTCCAGTAGGAGGGCATATGTAGCTTGGTCCCCAAAAAATTACAGCTAGACATATCTCCAACAAAGATGCAACTTGATCTGGAAGATGTGTTAGCTGTGCATTTGGCAATCTTGTAAAGCAGGTTTAACAATATCTACACAGATTACTCTTTTAAGTAATGCGAAATCCTGATTAGCCTAAGATCTCCCTTCACATATGTAATTTGATTGATATTAAATGTTTGTAACACCGTTTTTCTTTTAAATGCTCAAAGGGACACTAAGAGTGTTAACACTGCATGTATATGTTTATTGGAGTACTGATTAGTTGAATTAGACAATGTGCTTTCAATGTATGGAGATGTAAATGATGTAAAAATGATGTAAAAGCTTGCAGAAAATGATCAGCAAAGTATCAACATTATCTAGCACCCATTTTTGTTTGTTTTTGTTTTTCTTAGTCATTAATGATTTGTGTCACTGCAACAATATTATGAAATGAATGTGAAATTATCCCTGGGTGTGTTTAACTAGACTCTTCTTTTAAAACAACACAAATATTGTTTGTCTTTTATTTTCTCTTTGTATCATGGATTGAGCTGGCTGAGGGAGATCAATGAAGCACATTGTAAATGAGGAAATATATGAAAGGAAAATTGTAATTAGTTTACACATACCAAAAAAGATAATGCAGCACTGCAGAACTCAATTGTTGCTATGCTATATTGTGTCAAGAAAGTTCTGTGGAATCAGGGTTGTGCTATCAATAAACATGGTGGGTAATCCAAACCAGGAATTCACAAAATATTATAAAGATTCTAACTTTTAGGTATAAGGGGCATTTTTGGATGTTTGAGGTTATATCATGGGTATCTCTAGTTGTGGCTCTTATGAAGGATGCTTATTAATTTACAGTCAGTTCCCTAAAGGCCGAGTGGAGAGTTTCTCTCTGTCAGCTCCTCATTTGATTTTCCTATCACCCATTTTGAACAGTTTAGACCAGGGGTCTTCAAACTCAGCCTTTTTATGACTCATGGATTTCAACTCCCAGAATTCCTCAGCCAACATGCCTGGCTGAGGAATTCTGGGAGTTGAAGTCCATGAATCATAAAAGGGCCGAGTTTGAAGACCCCTGGTTTAGATTCTTTTGGCTTGAGGTCAACTCCTACTTATCTCAGGAATATGAGAATGTAGTTTTATTGGCAACAATACAGCTGTTTGTTGATACTGTCTTCTTTTTCAACTTCCCAGTCTAGCTTCTAGCTCTGATGATCTCCCATTGAAATGCTAAATAGATCAAACATTATTTAGCTTTTCTGAGAGACCAACAGTAGAGAATATTTGTAGCTCAGCATTGAACTATGGAGTCCTTAGTGCTTTCTGAACTTGATTGTTTTCTTGCAGATGCTTCATTACCCAACTAGATAACATTTTCAGTGCTAGAAGGGACAGGGATTTCCTCTATGTTTATATATGGTGGTTTGCCCTGTTGGTGGGAGTATTGTTTTCTTCTTGGTAGTTCCTTAATTAGGTTGTTGTTTACTGTTTGTTTGTCTGAGTTGGTAATTGAGATACTGTTTACTATTTGATTGTTGGTCTAGTTTCAATCCTGCTTTATCCTTTTCTGAGATAGACCAAGTCAACTTGGTATTTTCATTCAGCAAAATCTATTTGAGTTTATTATACATTTCTTCTGGGCTGGAAGACATACCGTATATGCCGGCGTAATAGGTGACCTGGCGTATAAGATGACCCCCGTCTTTGGCACCGAGTCACATTCCTAGAATGTTGTCTTATACGCCGGAAACTACCAGTATTTCTGGTGTATAAGACGACCCGGAGTATAAGATGACCCCCGTCTTTGGTGCCAATTTTAATGCTTGCGGAAGTCGCCTTATACGCCGGCATATACGGTATTCCAAATTTCCCCAAAAGGCCACAGGTTGCATGTTCTAGTAATATGTTTAACAACTGAGGCTTTATTTTTTTTAAAAAAAAAAGGTAGGAAAAATGATGCATATCATCCTTTGATTCTTAGGAGACAATAAAAGGAACTTTGGATATACAGACCTCATCTTCCTAAATAGAAAAGCTGGCCTACTTATATCAGCTGCATGGAAATGATTACAGAATTTTTCACTGCCATATTGCTCTTCTAGCAATAAAGGTAAGAATAACTATATCAGGCTTTCTCCTCCAACCACATTCCCAGAATTGCAAAAACTATACTAGTTATGGATTGTGTGCATTTATTCCCTCTCCTATTGAAACCAGTAGGGGAGGAGGGAAGTACTGAAAAAAAGAAAATACATTCCCTTGATGTGACCAATGTGAGCCCAACAGGAAATAGGAAGCGTGGCTGTTCTACTGAATATCCCTCCTCTACATGCTGTTCTTGGTGTTATTCTTACCAACTATTTGCCAAGTAAGAAAAGATGCCTCAACCACCCACTACAACAAGAACAGTTGTTCCATGAGTGAGCCCCAATTCTGGCAGGGCAAAGATCCCCAAGATTAGATGACAAAACAGTGGCTTTTGGTGGCATTATGTTTTTAAAAATGAGATTTCAACTATTTGTCTTTAAGTTTAATGCAACATTTTGTTTTTCCTGGAAAGAAAAACAATCTCTGGGGAAAAGAAACAAAATAAAACGTACAGTAATAAAGGACTTCTTTATTAATTTTAAAACACAGTGATGAATAATCAAGTTTTTTTTCTTGTAGGTTTTTCATTACCCAAATGCACAGATGATGTTACCTAGTTTGTGTAATAAAATGTCTGCAAGAAAAAAACAATCAAAGATTACCAAGGGACCCACATTTCAACTCTGAGCTACAAATATTCTCCTTTATTTACTATCTTTGTATTTCTTATTCTTTGATGATCATGAACTTGATCAAGAGATTACCAAGATGGGACAGACTACAATTATTGATAAATATATACATAAAGATAAATAAAAACCATTTGGTGCTAATTAAAGTTTCTGGATTGTCTTCAAGAACAAGCAATGCCTTGCAATAATCTATACCAAAAAATTAATGGATCACGGATTATATGGCTAACTATCTAGACCACAATAGGCATACAGCACAAACTGGGGAAAGGTTTCTGTCCTGCATAGTATTTTTGTGTTGCTAATCATAAATTTAAAAGCCCTCTAAATGTTGAATTTGATCCTTAGAGGGGATTATTTCCACTCCTTTGCCTGGATCTGATCAAACGGAGAAATGCATTATTAAATCTAAATGTCTAAATAAATGATCTCGCACTTGATGGTTTCAGGTTTTTATCATTGGAGATAAAATGGAACTTTGTAGTAGGTTTTCTTGTAAATGCCATAAAGTCAAGCAGAAACCCCCTGGAGGCAGTTCTGGAAATTGTGATCTACATATGAACAGACTTACTGCAAATCATAGGTAACGTAGATAATATTTCCCAAAAAAGAGGCAGTCGCTGGAAGCCCTGAAAACTGCTGAAGGATCCAGAACACCACTGGGCTTCTAGTCTCTCTCCTCCAACAAAAATCTTCTCACAGGGCAATTACACCCCTGGTTTTGGCATATTCACAACCAAAACTAGGCCTAAAGCTAAATTGAAATGGAGCTACAGAATTTGTTTTATTCAGCCACCACTCATTGAGAACTTCACTTATAGCTGTTCATTTTCACTGTTTCATCTGGGTCCATTTATTTTTCCTTTCCAGGAACGATCTCACCAAGGGCTCTTTTAATGAGGCTGGACCCCCTTCTTGGACTGAGCTGAGCTATAATGAGCCATAGAGGCAAAATAATTGACCAAATTCTACTAAGCTCTTTTTCGTGATCTGTGGGACATAAGAACTGAAAGTAATCAAAAGAATATAACCCGATACTGCCCTGGACACCTCTGCTTACAGTCTCCTTACTGCTAAGAAATAGATATATATCTTTTTATTTGGTAGGGAACAAAAATGGATAAATAGTGATGGATGACAATTAATTCAGCTCTCATTATAAATACAAGCTTTTGCCATTTGTATTTTTGAATATAAATGGACTAAATCACATTCATAAACTAATTTCTACCCATTTCAGGACTTGAAAAGTTCTTAATAAAACACTGCACATAAAATTCATATATTGGGGAAATTATAGATTAAAGCACCTTAGAGAAAATTGCTTGCATCAAATCTGCGTATTAGAAAAAGCACATATAATGGAACTTTAGGCCTGTACACGTAATTGAATACTGTAACAACGTGCATCCTGGAAAAATTGCACAATGTATGTTGATTTTTTTTATTTAAAAATTATGCTGATATAAAAAGGATAAAATGTGAGAACCTGAGTGAAAGTAAATCTGACAGATTTGCTTTTCTTTAGACCATATTGTCACATAAAATGGGTAAATTTGACTCTGTCAAGATATAGGTAACTAGTTTAATAGGCCATTAGTACAAAGGGATATATGTTACTCCCAAATGTCCCTTAAATCTGAATTTATATCATTTGCATCAATTTACATAATTTGTGTGATGACAAAATTATGCAAATGGTATAATTTACATTAATTGTCTGCCATTCAGATGCAATGGCGTGTCCATTATTTTGGGGTGATGTCTGGAGGAGAATTTTGTTTGCTATTTTTAAAGTCCACTAAATCAGAGTGTATTTGATTGAAAGTTTGTTGTATACTGAATGTGGATTTGAGGGAGTCTTTGTATTAAATTATTCAAATCAACACTCTACCAAACTGCTCACAACAAACTATAAACTTCCATCTAGGTCTAGAATCAAACCTGGATAAATACTTGAAATCCTCAGGGCCAATATCAGAGATGGCATCATTAGATGGCTGTTAAAGACCATATCTCAACTGATTCCACTCTACGGTTTTCCAGTAGTTTTCCTTGACATTTCTGACTATTCTGCCTCCTTTTATTGTATGCATACTAGTAGTGGAAAAGGAAAGGAAGAGCAGCCTCTTCAGCTGAGACATATGTAATGAGCTATTAATGCATCTTCTAACCCCATTTCCATGGGTGAAATAAACAAACATATGTTCAACTTGTCCAGCTAGATTCAGGGCCCCAAGGTTACTCTCACTGTTACATAGTTTGTCTTTGCAGGTTGTAAAACTCACACATTGATAGTAACAAAATAGTGCATTTTTTAATCTTGTATGCCTTGTTTGATTTTATATGTTCTATTTTGTAGCTGTATCCTATAGGTTTTATTTGGTAAGTCTTATTTAGTCTGAATTGCTGCCTGTAGTAAAGAATTTGATTGACTAAATAATAATCTCTCTTTCTTTCTCTTCTTCTGGTCAATGTTGTGAAGGCAAGTAGAAGAATAGTGTGGCCATGAAAAGAAAGTGGCTGTACTCAAGGAAGTGAGGTGAGTTACTGGAAAGGACATTGGGTAATAAATATAGAGTCTATACAGATTCTACACAGCATCATACATGAACCAAATGGAAAACAATAAGGATGCTAGTACAAAGTCAATTAATTTGCTGAGTCAACTGTTAATTAGCATTCAGTGGTCACATTGATGCTAGTATTTAAATTACTTTTAGACTATGGCAGCCATTGCAACTTGCCTTCTTCACACAGTAGCAGTAGAAGATCTAACCTGTGTAAGAATACTCCCTATCACTTCCACTGAAATGAGAATGACAATATGGGAGGGGGGGAGGGTGATTAGATGACCTCCAAGGTCCTTTCCAGTCCTATGATTCTATGATTGTAGATAATGCTTTGTATCACTGACCACTTTATAATACCCTTCAATAAAATTGGGGGACTATTAATATACCCCTCAAAGTCGGAAGGCTAGCTACCAGCAAAATGTTAATTGGTTTACCCTTTATTACATAATAAAAGATTGAGGCCCAGTTCTATGACACAATACTCGCTTCTCACTTTGAACCCACAGCAACATTTCTTCTCACTTTTCCCCAAAGGCCTGTGCTCAGTTGCATTTAGCTACTAATTTTATTTACCTTTGAAATTTCTAATTTTTCTGCAATCTGACTGTTCTTTCATACTAACATATTCCCAGTTGTCATGGAGGGGATTGTATTGCTAGCTAGTATTGAGGATCTTTAAGAAAACCTTAGATTAGATCCCAAGCCAGAAAAATATGGGACAATTCTTTTTATTCTCCATGTGTGTCTCTTGATCATCTGTTCAAGCTAGACAGAACCTAGAATTCAATGCTGTGCAATGTAGATAAGATCAAAGCTGGCCCAGCGAAGATAAATTAGAATGGGAATTTTGATGAATAGAGACCTAGAGAACAATTAATGTTGTTAATTATTCACCATAATTATTCACCAAACACACTACACCATGGTCTGTTTCTCAAAAAATAGTGCAGTTAAGTACAGAGGATTTTAGAGTTAATACACATGAGCCTACCTAATAATTCATATTTATTTTAGAAACCTAGCCTGAGAAGGAATTAGAGCAGAGACACAGAAAATCCATAGAATTAAACATTAGTCCATGTTCTTAAAATGCCTGAGTAACTGTACTTCAATGATATTTGCAGTATCACAATGATATTTTTATAACAAGATTTTGGTTTCAATTATAAAAATAATAACAAGAACCTCAATAGCCTGTGTTACTATACTCACTTTGTATTTGTTTCTACGGTTTATCGTGTTCTCTCCCTCACCATTATTTTATTGGGTCTTGAAGACTTTTCACTTTAGAAAGGCTGAGAACAGTCAAATAATATGATTTTCAACTACTAACATAAGCAACTTATTTTAGTGATTGTGGCTTTCTGCTGCTGCCCCTTTGCAACAATGTTATTTTGTAAGGACTAGATTTGATGGTTAATCTTTTGCTCTCCCTTTGTTTCACTAGCAAAATTATTTGTTGCTTCCAACACTTTGTTTTGCTGGTTGGTGACTGTAATAAACAGTGTTTGACTTGTTGTTTTGAGTTATTTCATAGAAAGTTGGATTTAAATATTTTATTTTGTTCATTTAATTTTTTTTTTCAGTTTGCAAAACTATTCCCCCAGAAAAAGCCACTGAAAGGTTCAGTAATCAGTTATAAATTTAGTGTCCAATTGGGCTATACTTCAATTACATGGACAGAAAGTTAAATATTTGCTGGCATGCTTATACATTCATAGTACAATCATTTCTAGATTTTGTTAAAAAAATATTTTATTTTTTTCTATTTTCTTGTTTTATTTTTTATTTTATTCTACAGTATACTCTTTTCTTCCAATAAATGGGTTGAAACTGTTTCACATCATCAGTGTATCTAAAAAACACTCATTCACATTCCTTTTTCGTCTTTTATACACACATACATACACATATACTGTACATCTAAACAACAGCTAAAAACAAAGCCTATAAAAGGAGAAACCCAAATGTATAAACAAATAAGATCCTTTATTTCAAAGGGAATTGAAAAAAAATGCTCATCTGATACAAAAAAATGCAGCAAAATAGTTGCCAACTCTGGGGAACACCATTCAACAATTAAGGTAGCACAACAGGAAAAAGTCATCACATCACAGAATATGGTATACACAAAGAAGACTTGTGTGGAATACTCTTATTTAGACAATTTGATTCTAATTCATGAAAGATTTTAAAGATTAAAATCGGTATTTTGCACTCATGAACTTAATCTATTTACTTGCTAACTAATTGCAGTTTCCAATAGTATAGTAATGCATACTAGTTTATAAAGGGTAATCCTCTATATAACTGAACACTTCCTATATTTGAAAGGATGTGTGATCCAAATCTAGTTTAAAGATAAAGAACCATAAGAAAAAGGAATTAACAAAGCTATTCATTAACAATTAACACTCAGCAAAGTCCATAGGAAGTCCAGTGTGTACCTAACTAAGGTGGAATGTATTGCATTTCAATGAAAGTACACTAGTAGCAATCAGACATCAAGTTCCTGGAGTTTAATATGTTAGTTGCTTAAAATTCCAAAATCCACCCATTAGTCCAAGGGAAGCAAGGAATTCTGAATTCTCAGGATTAATTTTAAATGTTTTAACAACTAAATAGAACGTGCAATCTACTTCTGCTTCCCCTCAACTTTTCTTCATTTCAAATGCAGAGTAAAAATTAGAAGCAAACAAAATTATAACTAGCAGCCAGCACAAGTTTGTTAAAAACAGATTGTGCCAAACCAATCTTATTTCATTCTTCGACAAAATGACTAAACTAACAGACCAGCAAAATACTGTGGACATAGTATACTTAGACTTTAATAATACATTTGATAAAGTAGACCACAACCTACTTCTTGGTAAGCTAGAAAAAGGTGGAATAGACAACATTACCACCAGATGGATCTGTAGCTGGCTGGCAAACTGTACTCAACAAGTAGTCCTAACAACACTACATCCATATGGAGAGAAGTAAGCAGTGGGATACCACAAGGTTCCGTCTTAGGCCCAGTACTCTTCAACATCTTTATCAATGACTTAGATGAGGGAATTTGCAGATGACACCAAACTGGCAGGAGTAGCCAACACCCCAGAAGACAAACTCAGGATCCAAAAAGATCTTGAACAATGGGCCCTATCCAACAAAATGAGTTTCAATGTGGAGAAAAGCAAAGTTTTACATTTAGGCAGGAAAAATTAAAGCTACAAGTAGAGATTGGGCAAGACCTGGCTTAAAAACAGTAACTGTGAGAGGGACCTTGGAGTCCTAGTGGACGATCACTTATCTATGAGCCAGCAGTGTGCAGCAGCAGCCCAAAAAGCTAATACAATCCTGGGTTGTATAAACAGAGGCTTAGAATCAAGATCACACAAAGTATTATTACTGCTTTATAAAACCCTAGTAAGACCATACCTGGAATACTGCAGCCAATTTTGGTCACCATATCACAAAAAAGATGTTGAGAGTTTGGAAAAAATTCAGAGAAGAGCAACTAAGATGATCAAAGACTTGGAGACTAAAACATACGAAGAATGGCTGCAAGACTTGGGTTTGGCTAGTCTAATGGAAAGAAGAAATAGGGCAGACATGATAGCAGTAGTCCAGTATTTGAGGGGCTGCCACAAGGAAGAGGGGGGGGTCACATTATTCACCAAAGCACCAGAGGGCAGGACAAGAAACAATGGTTGGAAATTGATCATAGAGAGAAGCAACCTGAAATTAAGGAGAAACTTCCTAACAGTGAGGACAATTAATTAGTGGAACAGCTTGCCCCCAGAAATCGTGAGTGCTTCATCACTGGAGATTTTTAAAAAGAGGCTAGACAGTCACTTGTCTGAGAAGGTATAGGACAGGTTCTCCTGCTTGAGCAGGGGGCTGAACTAGAAGGCCTCCAAGGTCCCTTCCAGCTCTATTCTATTCTATTATTCCTTTGATGTTGTTACTGTTAAGCAATTAGGAATCAGTTCTCTTTATCAATCTTTTGCAAATCAACCAGAGGTTTATTAACAGGAATAGAGCTGTCTTTTATCTACCCCAATAATTGTTGCAATTATTTTTAAATTATAGCCTGAGTATATCTGTGTCTATCAATTGTACACTTTCTGTGCAAATCTATGGGTTTATTTGTTCTCTTCTGTGGTGCATTTCCTCTTTTGGGGTGTCATGTTACCGTAATATAATCTTGACACAACAAGGGCAAGTGTTGAAGAGAGCTCTCTCTGAGAATGCCATAGCTGGTCTACCAGCTTCCACCAAGGAAAGGTATTCTACTCCTTTGTAGTCTTCCAGTGCTAGATGAAGGAATACCCATCCAAATTTGACCCCGAACCTTTAGGAGAAGAACAATCTCATTCTGAAGACCCTAAACTATGTTTTAAGAAACCTCCACTGGATGGCACTGTGAGGATGCAGCAGTGGGGTGGTGAAGGATTGTATCTTTGTCATCATCACTCCTATAAAGTACTATGATGATGATTTTTGCTATTACTTATATTCATTACAGACTCTTCCTAATATTAAGTCAGTATTCAAAGCAAATTTTCTGACACTCATAGTCCAATCATCTCCTGGCCTGGCACATTTTTCAAAAGTTCCTCAATATACCAGTTACAGAAATGGGCACTTTTTGTGTTTATTGACCAGTATCAATGGAGCAAAATAGTGCACATATATATCAATAGAGTCAAAGGAACCTAGAAGTTTGTATGGACATGCAAAGATTAAAGCCTAACAATAATAAAGTTTTACTGTGTGAAGAGGGAACTGTAGATGTAGTCTAATGTTACTTTCTTTAAGATGCTGTTTACAGCTACTTAAAGCTGTTCCTCCTTCATCAAGGAGGGTAAATTTGATGATGTTGATTAGTTGAACCAAACCAGTCACCAAATTAACTGACCCAATCAAAACCCTGAGCTATCACTCCATAGGCAACAAGGCGCCCAACAAGTGACATTTT